AACACCAAAAAGGAGAAACAAAAAAATTATCTTTATGTTTTGATTGGATGTCTCACGTACAGTAGATACACAGTTTTCCCTTTCTGATTCTAATCCTCTTTAGAAACGTGAAAGATCGTTTTCTCCTAGCATTTATTATTCTAAGAAAATAAAAATGAAGATCTAATTTCAAGAAAGTAATAAATTTCTCTTTTATAAGATATTATAAGAAAGAAATACTTTATCTTAAAAAATGGCTATGTAATGGGAAGACTATTTCATATTTCATACTTCTTACTTCAAACGTTTAGTAATTTTCACATTAATCCCTTCTAATTTTCTATTAATCCTTTTAAGAGATTTAACAATTTTCTTACCAGTTCTTTTTAAAAGCTGTAATAATTTCCTTTCTAATTTTTCTATCAATTCTAAACTTTATTACCTTTATCGATTATACTTCAGAACAGAGCACGTAAATAAACTGGCTAAAATATGATACATACTTAATTCTTCATTTGTATTGATTCTATTGGATTACAAACTAAAATAAACAGAATATAGCAACTTACATTCACACAAATGAACTATTCGTATTTAACTGATATGTATAGTTACTACAATACAACTACAAGCTAAATTAACACATAGAGCAGGAATTCCCAAACTTTTTCTTGCATCGACCCCTTCTAAAAGAATGATTTCTTTCATATACCTCCATGAATTTATCTTCATAATATTTAGCAAGCAACATAATCATAACAAAATTGAACGTAAATAACTTAAAGACAACAATTAGACTAATTATATGATTATAACTTTCGAAAAATGGTTTATTATAATTATATTTTATTATTTTTTTAATTGTAAAACAATAAAAAACTTTTCAGAAACAAAATCACAGATTCTAATTGCACAAAAATTCGATTTTAATTAATGTCATAGCTGCACTTGATGTAGAGATATACTGACGCAAGTACTGATGTATTGATGCCAGCTTTTTAACATTTGGCATAGTATTGCTTTGTAACAGAACTATTTGACTGTAATCGAACTAGTGGTGACGAAAGCGACTTAAATCACCTCCAACTACGTGGAAGGCAGGTTCTTCATTATTATGTCTCTGTAATTTCTAAATTTGATTTTAAATGTTACTTCTAAATCTTATATGTTTCTTTTTAGTGTACATTCTGTTCTGATGTATATATTCTTTGTACCTGTTTCTGTGCTCTGATAATAAATCCTTTTAGAGCTAACCAGCTTTTGTGTTTATAGAAGAACAGTTACAGTTTAACTTAATTCTGAAATCGTTTTGTTCCGAAATATTCAACTTGTTCCCTCTTTTTTGCGCAATTAACTTTATTGCTTCCAAAAGGTAATACGACGGAAAAGGCAATAATGTTGATTTGGAAACAGCTTTTGTTTTGGATATTTCTCTCGGATGACTTTTTAACTTCAAAACTTAACACATGTTTTGAATAAGATTTGCATTTGAGCATCCTTCTTCAATGCAATCAATTCTTTTTGCATTATAATTTCAAGATCATATATATGGCAATTCTATGAGCGATGTTGAGATATTCGAAATTTCAGTGTCTTGGAAGCAAGCATGATTTTTTTTAAACTTTTCAAGAGGCCTATATGTAAGAATGTATCTTCTGAAGGAGATCTGCCCTGTTCTTGATGGTGTGTGTGAGTGTGTTTTTTCTTGTGTTCCTTCGCTTCACTTTTTTATATTGTATTTTTTTGCATAAAACGATTTATATTTTTAAAAAAATTTTTAATAATTTTTGTGTATTCCCCCCTTGTATTTCTACATGATATAGCTTTCTATAAGTAAACAAATCAGTTTTACAAGATTAATAATTTTTTTTGTAATTGCATGGATATTTCGTCGTCGAACCTTTATCATCATAAACTCCGTTTCAAAATTTCTCGTCCCTGTTGGGAACCCCCTGACCTAAGCAATGTAAACAAACTGTTGTTTCATTATTTAAGTTTCCGAAAGGCAATTTTATAAAGTTACATTTTAATTTCATTCGAATTAAATTGAGAAGCCTTAATAGAATGACGAACTATTTTTCTTTTCATCTTGTCAACACAAACTACTAACAAGAAACATATAAAAACAAACCAAATATTTATTGGCACTTCAATTTGAAATTTAAATCTAAGAAGAATAACAAAACTAACTTCTGCTAATTGTCACCTTTTAATTGTAGTAAACTGATGATAAAATTTAGGTTTTATAATAATTGATAATTATAGATAAAAGTATTAAAAACTAAAAACCTAAATCCTATGTTAAATCTCCTTCTCATGTAATTTTTTAAGTGCAAAAATTTAATTTACCAAAATTCACCGTACCAGAAGAAAGGAAGAGAATCAGCGCTTTTGAAGCTTAAGTTGCCAGAAATAAATCTTGAATCTAACAAAAATCAATATTACAATTTCAATTTGCTTTAACTTATTCGTATATTTTATCAGTCTTCTGTATATTTGCGATTAATCTATTCATAACAGATACTTAAATCACTTTTGAGTAGAATTTCCAGGTTGTGCGCTACTTAATTCATCCAAATAGTTAAGCGCTAAACTTTAGATAGGAATATTGGTCAATCAAGACCTGCTAAAGCTGTTCTTGTATATTTGTTTTCATTTAGTTGCTAATTTACGTATTCCTGTTTTTACTGGAGCTAGCGCGCGAAACGCCAAAGAAGCGTCCGTCCGCATCATAAGTAACTAAGAATGATAGTTGGTTAGAAAATTAAAAATACTTTCTATGTATTAATAAAAATCGTACAAACATAAAATAATTACCCAAATACGTGAAACATCAGAGAGTCTCACAACAAAAATGAGCTAATTATATTATTAATTATGTTTGTGAAGTCTGTTTTACCAAAAAGATCGATTTTATATAGCAAGTAGAATGTATTAATTGTAGCTTATATAAATTAAATCTCACGTTTTCCAATTAAACTCTTTGATTAAAAATTTATTTTCGACGCACTTTTTATAGAAATTTAAAAATACAGTACAACTGTAACATATCCGGACTTACTGGAAGCAAAACTCAGGGAATATTAAAAAAATCGAATAATTTGTTTTTCTTCCCTTTATAGACCAAGTACGTATTTGTTGTAATGTAAAGGGATTTTATTTCATTCGCGTAATGTATTTTTAACAAGGTTTTTACAATTAGAGTAATAACGTACCTTTATTTCCTATAAACAACATACATCTTTTAATAAAATTATGAAATGACGCCATTTTTATTTGCCAAATTACAATGCCTTTTAATTAAAAAAAAAATCTGAAATGTTTCAGATTTTAAATTACGTCCAAAGGGGCGTTTTTTAACATTTTGTGTGTTACCTTTCTTTATTAAAATATCATGTTCCTCGCACTTAAACCATAAGATCCACTGCAACAGCAATATCGCAAAATAGTTTTAAAACGAGCATATCTTTAGAATTTCCGATACAGAGACTCACGCGCTGGAGATATAAATGTTTTTTCTGCACAACGTTGCCATTGCTCGCTTTTAAATAGTTGAGTTTGTTACTCAAAAATTCGTTAAAGTTTTAAAAAATAGGAAATCGATAATAAAACAAATTCCAAATTTCAAATTTGGGATTCCAGATGCCCATATTCGTAGTAAGATTACATCATTCAAAATTCGATTGTTCTATGTACCGTTGTTTTATCACAATACGAGAAATATACATACATTTATGCAGATTTTTCATTATTTAATTTCTTCAAATATAATGCAGGACTCTAAAATTTTGTGGCAACAGTTTGAAAAGTGAACCGACATTTATGAGTCCGACGCAAAATGCCAAAGCGAAAGCAATAGTCCTTCAGGACTCAAGTCCCTTTGGACTAATAATTAACTTTAACTTTTGTAAGCTTTAAACCTGAGTGCATAATGTTGCTTTATCCCTCCTTCCCATCTTCGATTGTTTATCGCTTTGGTTGAGATCAGTACTCAGACAACCTCAGTTCTTGAGTATACTGTATATAAACCGAATTCCTATTTAAGCTTTGCGGCCGATGACCAGAGGTTCGAATATTCCTTACCGCTTTGCTTTCCACAGCGAGTTGAGAAGGCCAACTGAGACCGCGAAACTGAATCCGTTGAACTGAGAAAGCGAAAGGCTTTGGGCTAGAAAAGTTTATTTTGCCCAGTTTGCTACTCCTGCTTAATACGCAGTACAACAATGAGAGTACGACTTAGTAGCTAAATTCAGTTGCACAAGCAAGTTGCGTTAAGTTGCGAAGTTGCGTTAAGTTTTGTTAGTTGCCTTCTTCCACTTTAGAATTAAACAAAGAAATGATTTTTTTTTTATTTTTACGCATAGAAATTCATGTTTGTACAGTTTATATATCTACCTGGAACTGTAGGACCAATTTTATTTATACAGTCATTTGAATGAGATTTATAGCTTCTTAAAAACTTATGAATTTTACATTTTAATATTATATAAATCAGCGAAATAAGACAAGTTGAGATAAACAGTTTAAAAAACAATCTTAATTTTCCTCTAACTCTGAAATTCGTTAAAAGGAAGAACAAGAGGACCAGATAATTACAGCTCAATATTTAAACTATATCGATTGAAAAGTCTGCCAATAAATCTTAAACGCTGAAGCATTCATTAAATGCCTCAGTACCATAGCACACTGCAGAATATCTCTATCTTCTCCCCACACACTTTTCAAATATATATTACATGTATGAAGTTAATTCATTTTAGTGCTCGAATGTGGCTTTATCTTTAAGTATCTTCTTGCAGTTAGAAAATTATAATCTAGCCCAACAGCTTTATAACTTTAGCTGGAGATAATTTTTCGTCATTGCTGTCTCCTACTCCAACTCGTTATTTATCGCAAAAGCCAAATCAAACGAGTACCAGGAAGTCATTCTGAAAACTTTTCTATATCGCGTAGGCGTTAACTACCGTGAGAGGGCGCATCCATCGCTCATCATCCGGAAGCCCAAGAGGAACAAGCAGTCGAGATGAAGCGTTCGTTCCTTTTGCTGCTTCTCCTGTTCTTGGCCGTGGAAGGCCAGCGGATCGCACTGAGGAGAAGTAAGTATCTTCAAATCCCTCTGTCAATGACCGGGACGTAATCCACTCTTCGAAACGTGCTTCTGTTTGCTAAGTTACTCAAGAATGAGAAAGGCGGGAAACCTTGTTGACAAAGAGCAGAAGACCATGCTATAATCATTCGTGGTGTGATGGGCTTTACTGGAAGGCAATATATTCGCGCATTTATTTTTGTGTATTTAAACTATGACCTTTCTTATTTCTAATAATTTCACAGCTTTATAAATTTTGAAACTGTAGCCAATTAAAAAAAATCAAGAGAAAATTAATTTTGATTTATCTTTGAAAAAATAATTGTAAGTTAGTTTTCAAATCAAGTACAGTAGACACAACAAAATTCAGTAACTTAAATTTCAGCGAAATATTCTTGGAGACTTTATCTTTTTATAAAAAAATTGCCATTCATGCTTTTAATCGTTTCATGTGTATTTTACAGTTGTTAAAATATAATGACTGATTTTCTTCTACTATGATTAAGTAAATAGTTTATTAATATGTGATAGAAACATGAAAAATTACATCGCACTTTAGTTTTAGTTTTTAAAATGATTTTTATCTCAAATATTACAGTAATTAGAATAAGTTTGCTAACGTGTATAATAATTTGATATTTATCAATAAGAATTTGGAAGCTAAAACAACTGTTGCTCAAATTAGAATTCAAAGCAAATAATGCTGATTTCAGGTTTATATCAGTAGGAGTTAGAGATATTTTTTTTTGTCATCTTCAATTAAAACCTTTTAACGGCTTTATCAGTTTAATGTACATGAAGTATAGATTTTAGGTTTACATTTAACTAAATATTGTGAAAAACCTGTATTGTGATTTACCTTGTAACTGCCTACGTGTACAGACTTTTCTGGAAGAAAACATTTAACCAAAGAACGCGGACTTTTAAAGGAATTTCATTTTTCCTTTTTTTGAACAAATGTAATCTAAATTATGGGCAAGTCGTTATTAATTCGAAAATATGAATGGAAAGATAAATTAACAGCATGAAATTACGTTTAATAAAAAGTATTAATTGTTTTAATGTCATAAATTTAACATTGTTTTATCTATTATAACTTATCAAAATTTTATCATATACGACTAAAATGAAAATCACGAGAAGCCTATATAAAAATGGTATTGCGATATTAAGAGAATTATGAGGAACAGTAAAAGTGATAGTATAAATATGACAAATGAAAAAATAATTAGCTTCAATGCATTGAGTTCTCTGTTTTGACAATTTTGATTTAAAATTCACATGCATCGCAGCTTCGCAATTTTACTTTTAGTCACACATGACTAAAATTATTATGATAGTAAAACAATTATTTTTACTAACTTAAAATTATGTTTTTATGTTAACTTAAAATTATATTTTTTGTAGTTGATCTATATATATATATATATATCTATAATTTTAAAGGGTTAAGTTGTAAGAACAACGAAAAAGACATATAAATATATATATATATGCACAATAATTTTAACAAAATTGTTCATCTTGAAATGCATTGTAGAAAATGACATCCATCTGAAGCATTAAGATAAAGCTTTCCCATATCGCTTATATTATTGGAATAAAACAACAGTCAATGCGCTCTTAACTATAATTTCATCCAATCTGTTCCTTTTAGTCTTGTAGAAAGCACAATTCCAATCGTGATGAAGTCATCGTCATCTATATTTTACATATTTAACTAGTTCAGTTAATCGGTATAAAAACTTGCAAAGAAATAAATGCATTAAATCCTAGGACTCTTCCTCCTCTAAAATTCAAATTCAAATTTTACATCTGGAAGCCAAAGCAAAGAGACGAAAGAACTAATCTGCAAGATTAAATTTTTCTTCTGAGGTTAATTCATATTTTTTTTCTTCAGGGGTGAAACCTGGTGACACGAACGCTGCCATGTTTAACAAAATCACTAAATTTTGATGATTAGGATATTTTTGCGTCCCTGCAGACAGATTTGCATCTTTACATTATCCAATGAATCTACTTTTCCTGTAAAAGACTCTAATTTCACAAAATTAATCTAAAATTTGATTTGTCAATAACTATTAAATAATAAATTACTTTGTTGTTTAGAACAAAGGAATCAAATGGAAGTAAAAGGTGCTTAACTGTGTATGAGAAATGACTGAAATTTTGTGTTATATTATGGAGTCTATGAGTTCCTTTCGAGCCATTCATAGTAGACCCTACGTGAAAGACTGCGTAGCTTTCTGCTTGGTTTGAAGAACAGATACTAGAGAAAACGGTTTAAATAACTATTTTTTTATGAACTAACGTAATAATATACGCTCATTCGATGATCACCATTCACCACCACTTGTGGCTAAATAAATTGAACAGAAAATAAAAATGTAAAATCAAAATAAATTAGGATGGCTAAATGACTAGCTCCTTAGTTATCTAAACCGCTAAATCGCCTGCACACAAGCAAAGCCAAGACTAGAATATCAATACAATCTGAAGAGGGTGTCTAACACCAACTAGAGGTCTATTTCAATTAACGCGACATAAACTCAGAACTAACTCCGCTACTACTCTTCACGAACTCTTAAAATGCAACTTAAATACTGCTTTGATTTTGAGCATACTTAAATTTTGCAAACCCATTAAAATTTACATTCCGACAGGAAACTGAAATAAGGAGGGAAAAGAAAGTCAAACTAAAAATAATTTGTTTGAGTAACGATGTATACAAGCAACTGTATGGCTTAGAAAATTTTCCATGCCATATAATCTATTTAAATTGAAGGCATTTAAGAGAAATTCAAAGCGAACTACAGAAAACAAAATAACTTCTTTTGAAATTGTGTTTTCGTTTTAGATAAAATAGCATCCATTATTCCTTTTTTTTTTCCCTATAATGCTAGGATTGCTTTCACAAAACTTAGCAATTTATTTTAAGAAATTTAATTCAATGTTTTCAAATGACAGTTTTTGAGAGGAATGCTAAAAAATATGCAGCTTGGATCATTGTTTAAAGATTGGTTAATTGATTTTAATAAAAGCCAAGAATTCAAGGGCAGTCTGAAAATATTGCTGAAGGAAATAAAGCTGGTAATCACATATCTTGTACAAAATCATATTTTAGATGATTTTACTTACAGGTACTTTCGATTTTATTTACAGGAACTTTCGAAACTTATATTTGACTAAATGAGCATCATATAATATAGATTTCAGATTTGGAAAATCCAAGGTGATTTCAAAATCCTGCGAATAATACAATAACCATTTATTCTTCGAAAGAGAATCCTTTTCATTATGCTCCTTAATTTTAGCAGCTAGCAGCTATTTTTAGTTTTGATGACAGAGTTAATTAGCGCATTTCGTGTTGCTTATTGCGAGTGATTAGAAAGAACTGGTACTAGTACTAGAGCTTCCCACCTGTTGAGTGGAAGATATCAACTTTAATTAACTGACACCAATGTGAATGACGTCATTTGTTTCATTTCAAGATGAGACTGATACTCCTCAACATTGTTGTCTTTGCCTTTAAATAATGCACTGTAGTAAGATTACGAATTATAGGAAAAATTAAACGGATGAATCTGTATGAACCTGAAGATCACACTCATCTTCTCCGCTTATTGAATTCAGATTGGTAAAAGATGATTCTTCAGTGACAGAATATCCTATCAAAGCTTTTCGTACTTGATCTATTTAAAGTATTGTGGACTGTGTCTTTTCCATTCAGATATGTAGCGCTTCGATTAAACGGGTTTGACTGAAATTTTTCTACTTTTTTATCCCGTACCTGTCAAACACTCTTTTCAGAGTTTTTCGTCAACACGGGATTTCAGAGCGGCAGAATTTCCTTATCTTAAAATTAACAAAAAATGTTCTCTAGAGGCACTATAAATGAGCGAAGGTCCCTTTTCGAATACCATCTGATAGAAAATGAAAGTGCAATTTCTGTATCCCGTCTTTTAAGGTTTCCATCTTCAAAGTCCAATTGGGACAGTTACATTATGTTCATACAGTGTTACAAAAAATTCATGTAATGCATCTAAGCATTACCTTACATTAAGAGTCCTTGAATGGAAAAGAAGCGATAACTGTAGATGGAAAAAAAAGGAAAGGCATTGATCATGCTAGTAATCCTAAAGAGGCAGATCTACTAAAGGAATCTTTCTGCTGGCTAGAAAAGGTAAATTTTGACATTTGAATAAATCAATAGATGGCGCACATTTTAAAAACATTTCTTGTGAGCTTAACTTGTAACTTCTCGAAATGCGAAGTGAAAAGACTTAAGCCTAAAAGAAGAGGATCAATTGTTAAAAGTTTTTAAAGGTCTTGGCAAGTGTAACGAGAGAAAAACTACATATAAACCAGGATTGTTTCCAAAAGCATAGTGCATTTTACTTAAACGAGGAATTATAATTAATGAAGAACTAATAAAAAATGCAAATGTCTCAAGGAAGAGCAAAAAAGATAAAAAATCGGGAGACATTGAAATTACATTTTTAGGGCGATTTCAAGCAAGGGAGCTAAAAATTGTTTCTATTTATAAATCTTTTTTCTCTAAATCGCTAAATGCTAAGAGAACGCTTTACAACACTGATATGTCTCATAAGTTAGAGAAAGAGAAATACACCATTATTCCTTAGAAATTGCATGGAGGGAATCATATCATTATGCAGCTGATAATGTTATGAAAGATGTTTTACTTGAACTACTAATGAATACAAGTCACTCAGAATTTATAATACAGATGTAACTAGACTGCGTCACAAAACATTACCGAAACACACCTTAATAACTAAAATGAAACAGAAGTTGGTTCAAGAAATTGAAAGAATAAGTTGCCTTGTTTTAGAAGTGATTAGACAGGGTTTCTAATGCTTACCACAGTAAAATAATCAGTCGTTGCCTTTTTAACGAGTAATGCAGACCCAACTTATTGAGAAGATTCTTGACAAAAGCAGAAAACCTCGATGTTTGTAAGGAATCAAAAATTTACTTCTAACTCACTAT